TGGTTTGAGGGGCTGGAGTGCCCAGGGCTTCTGAAGCAAATTGCTGAATAAAAGTTAGCAGTGGCATTCAGCTGGGAGCAGCGGCTTCTGTTCTGAACAGCAAGCTTCAGGCAGCAACCTGTGAAATAGCAAATGTAAGGTCTTGTCAGAGTCACACAAATTTCCTTTAGCTTGAAAATATGCAGAACAATATAGAGGTGTCGTTCAGGTAGGAGGCAGTCTGTAGCCCCATTCTAGCTTTTTAAAGTTCTGACCTCTTCTCCCTAAAGATACCAATTTCTCCCAAATTCCGTTTTTTCCAGGCTGCTTAGAAAAACGGGTCCATACGTTGTGACCTAAACAGTCGTGGGAGCTGGATAGTCTGGCAATCACTTTTGGTAGTGTTTTATTCCACTGAATTTTATTTTTCTTGGCATGAGTGGGGGTTTAGGACTGTACAGCTCTGCAGTCTCATTCAGTTCCAAGATCAGAGAATTTGCTTGGAGAGTGGTCAGTTTGTAGCTGAGGTTAATAGATTAATAGGGAGCAGTCGGCAAATCACTAGAATGTTTCATTGGGCAAAATAAGGAATAAAAGGAGGTTAAGAAGACGAAGCCACAAGTGGAACAAATGGTCTTGTCATTCTCCAGTTCAGCTGCAAAGCTAAAAGTGAAATTATTCTCATCCAGAGAAAGAAATATATCTCTGATTGTTTTAAGATAGAATTCTTCCTCCTCTTAAAAAATGAAGTTCTGGGCAGAGAATCTGATCGTATAATGGGAAACATTACATCAGGCATATTGCTGTAGCAGAATGATTCAATTAGAGTTAATTATTTTTAATTAATAAATGCAACAGTAAAAATGCTTTAAAGTGGGCCTTACGTTCTAATTTATCCTGGGGCCTAAGCAGGTCAAAAGGTAATTTTATTTCAAGCCCCTGGTTCAGCGGTGATTTTAGCAGAGGCCGGTTCCCAGGCTGATTGCTCTCCTGTTTTCCCATCCTCTGGCCTCTCTAGGGATTATCTTATCTCCCGCTCCATTCCTATCATTGTTTTTGCCCCCGTTAGATTTAGTAGCTGTCAGGTATAACCCATTTCATATGCCTGCCATTTCATTCCTGAGACTGTTCCCTCCGAAGGCGGCCTTTCTGACGGCAGCGTATCTTGGTGAATTGTAGAGTCCTGTTTATCCATCCGCTTTGCTAAGGGATGGATCCCCCTTTCCTCACTGCGTGTTTGGCTTCCCTTCCAGACCTCCATGGAATAACAGCTTCACCCAACTATCTAGAGCAGGGGTAGGCAACCTCGGCTCTTTTATGACTCGTGGACTTCAACTCCCAGAATTCCTGAGTCAGCATTCTGGGAGTTGAAGTCCACGAGTCATAAAAGAGCCAGGGTTGATTACCCCTGATCTAGAGTAACCTGGCACTTCTGTCTGGATGTCCGTGTCTTGCTCAGCTTTTAGACAGAGTCCTGTTCTCTTGGTTGAGACAGAATAGACAAGTTTCTTCTTCACCCAAACAGTTCTTGCGAGATGTCATTCACACAACCATCTGTCCTTTCAGAAAAATCCATTATTTTTGGAGTCAACTTAGTGGCTTCTGGTACATTGTCTAGACCAGGGGTCTTCAAACTTGTCCCTTTTATGACTTGTGGACTTCAACTCCCAGAATTCCTCAGCCGTCATAAAAGGGCCAAGTTTGAAGACCCCTGGTCTAGATTGTGGGTGTGCAAAATATCAGTGTAAATCATATTAAGTCAGCTGCAAAGCAGTTATAAGAGGAAGAGTATGGTTACGTTGGTTTCAATTCCTTCCTCCTCTTTGAATGCACACGGGTGATGGAGGTCTACTTGCACATGTGAACCATTTTTATTAGGGGTTGTTTTTCCCAAAATTTAATAATTTGCCATTTTCAGTCTGAAAAACATTCTAGGGCTGTGGCAAAGGGCTTTCCAGAATGTTCCTCTCTTTCCTTTTTGTCCTTTAACTGCCTGAAGTATTGTTTTTTGGGGGAGAGATTTAAAACAAAGCATGAGCCCAGAAAAGCTTTCAAAGAAAAGTAATTAAAAATGACAAGTTGTGGCATAAACCTGACAGTGTTCAGGAAATATGCAGGATGGATATTTTTTCATTTATGCCTTCTAGCATGTTTGTTATTGTGTTCATAATGAGACGTTCTTTATAGCTAGAGTTCTTTTTTTTTCCCCCTTACTGTAAATGACAGTGGGCGTCTAAGCCCCGCTCTGTATTTTTATGAGTATTTTTATCCCCACGTCATGCTTTTAAAGGTTTGGTATGCAAACATACGATTCAGAAGCTTTGGGTAGAAAATGCCTGTCACAACTGCGATTATAATAACTAACATCCTAATGAGTTGTGCTCCATATGTGGAAAATAATCTATAAACTAAACTGTTACATAATTTATATTAAAATGTGCATGCAATTATTTTGAAACGGGGTAAATCCTATACATTCCAATTACAGTGGCAATTAAGTGAAATTATGTGGATACTAATTAGATGATCCTAAAGGATCATAGACTTGTGTACTTAATTATCAGAGGAACAATCAACAACTCATTTAGGATGAATAAATTTATTTCACTTGGAGAGGCTGATACCGCTATAGTTTATCCTGCCATCATGTTTCTGAGGTAATTCCGTTGAGGGCGGTGTGATCTATCCTGTATTTTCATGAGTATAGTTAAGAACAGAATGTAACCTTTGGAGATTAGCATAAATTTCAGATCTCATTGTGCCTCAGAAAGATATTTAAAAAACCCATTATTCTTAATAAAACCCATTTAAGAAGACAGCAGTGTAAGAAGCAGCCAAACCTAGAAACCTTTGAAGAATGTAAGTAAAGGACGCAGTTTCTAAAGTCTATGGGGAGCAATTGGTGAAGCCTGTTATTTATTTATTTCTTCATTCATTCCTAAATCATAAATAAAGAATTAAGGAGCTCAGGTCCACTGAGCATAAGTCTCGCTCACAGTTTGAGTTTGTGTTGGATTTTATCCTAAATGACTAATCATATTGAATGCACAGAACGGTTTTATCCTTGGGCCAGGGCCATCCATTTTGGGGTAGTCCTTGACTTATGACCACGATTGGGCCCAAAATTTCCAATGCTGAGTTGGACAGTTGTTAAAGTGAGCTTTGGCCACTATGTGACTTTAGTTGCCACAGTTGTTAAGCAAATCACTGCAATTGTTCAGTTAGTAACACGATTGTTAAGTGAAACTGCCCCCCCATTGACTTTGCTTGTCAGAAGGTCACAAAAGGGGATCACGTGACCCCAGGACACTACGACAGTCATAAATGTGAGTCAGTTGTCAAGCATCTGAATTCTGATCATGTGACCATGGGGATGATGCAGTGGTTGTAAATGTGAAAAACGGTCATAAGTCACTTTTTAGTGCCGTCGTAACTTTGAACAATCACTAAATGAATGGTCGTAATTCAAGGATTACCTGTATGTTCTGGCTGCCGTGGGTGGATGGCGACACACCCACGCATGGCCTGTTACAAGCCTGTTGGGTGGTCCTCCTGTTGCTGCTATACAATCTGTGTCCGTTCTTCCTAACCGTGCATTTGGGTATTTTTGGGTGACACCACCAACACGTGGTTTGCCAGGAGAAGGCCTCCATGTTTTGGGACAAGAACATGAGAAGTGTACCAAATCAGATTTCGTTTCATTTAATAGAATAGCAGAGTTGGAAGGGACCTTGGAGGTCTTCTAGTCCAACCCCCTACTCAAGCAGGAGAACCTACAGCAACGGGGTTTTATCCAAACATGTTCCTGAACTTGTAATTTCACAGGCAGAGATTCAAGCTGGTTTTATTACACGCATTAGAAAACAACAAAGATTCTGCAGTTTTTGGCTCAAATCTCTACATGGCCCAGGTTCCAGTCCTGCCTGAGCATCTAAATGAGCCGAGAGTCAGTTTCCTCGTGGGAATGGTGGTCAACATCTGGGCATGGTTACTGCAGGGCCCTCGATGTTTCCAGCCTGGGTCCGTCTAGCCCTCACAGACGCACTGCTTACCCAGTTTCCATAAACATTTTGATAACTGCTTCTTTGGTTGCTTCCTATTACATTAGCCTGGTTATTTATTTAAGATTTTAAAAAATAAACACAGTTGTCATAAAGTTTTTTGGATCTCCTATAACAGTCGGTTTATTCTTTCATCTTATTATTGTAATTTATGCAGTATGGTTGTTGTCTAAGAGGCAGGCTTTTTAATTTTCATAATTTGCACATCAAAAAAGGTGTTAATGACATCACACCCTTTAAAAAACATCTCTGATCATGAAGAACGTGCACCTATTCTGTTCAAATACGCTGTTTTTAAATCCCTTGAAAGAATTGCTAGAAATTGAGCAGGATTGCAAAAAGGATGCAAGCGAAACTAGAAAATGTTTCCATTAAATCTATCATGCCAAAGAGAACCTACCATCCAGATTCTTCTTCTTTTTTGTTTTTTGTTTTAAGGAAAAGGGATATCATTTAGGGGATATTTTTTTTAACAGTGCAAAGCCCCTCTTCCTCCTCCTCCTCCTCCTCCTCCTCCTCCTCCTCCTCCTCCTCCTCCTCCCAGTTCACTTGCACGTGTCAACTCCAGAGGCTTCTTTCTCTCCTTGCCTAAGGAACTTGTGGTTCTCCCTACATTGCTCTTCCCTAGCCACAAGCCACACAATGGTTGAGATTTACAGAAACACCTGGAAGCCTGGAGTTTTCCCATTATTCCTGCTCTTTTCAGTGCTCAAGTTGCAGTGGGTTGCAAATTAATTGTACTGTCTTGGTTACGTATCCTGCTCAAGGTTGTCTCTTGGAAAGGCCCCGGGGAGGCCATCAAAGCCAACTCTTGGCTGAGTCCACTGACAAAATGGAAGCATCTCTGCCTTGGGGCTGCTTGAAGGCCTCCATGGTTTTGCATTTGACAAGATGTTGCCGTTCAGAACATGGTCAAGATATGTTGTAAAACATGTTTTTTTTTCTTTCCTTTCCTTTTAGAAAATGAAGTAAGAACTTTCCCAGTCTTAATTAGCGACCAAAGCGAGATAGTTGACACTAACGGAGCCGGAGATGCCTTTGTAGGCGGTACGTATCTTTCTCAGGTTATTCTGTCTGGAGATCTCCCTGTTCTCCCACCTTCCTCTCCTCACCGGCAACTTCATTAGACAAGGTGATGACAAGTGTTGGTGTTTTTTTCCAGCATAGGGCATCAAGCTTGTTCTTTGCAAGCCTTCATTTGCATCCTAAGAGTCTGTTTTAATGGATTGTTAATTCTCTCAGGAAAAACGTGTTGCTACCTTTACAGATAATATGCTGTTAAGTAACATCTACATTGTTTTCACAAGATTAATTGGGCCTGTCAGAATGTTGCATAAACAAAACTGCCGCAAATATGCTTTGTAGAGTCCTCCAAATTCTACCCTGGCTTTAAAATCTTAGCACATGGCTCTTCTTTTAGCAGGTTATAGTGAATATTGCAGAGTATGAAAATAACTAACATTTGAACCTTAACTTTTTTTTCCTTAGTGCATCTGTTTGTGTAAACGCCCCTCCCCCAAATGATATGCGTTAAGAGTCAGAAATAGCAGAACATCTGCTCTGATTTATATCTGATCTCAATTTTTTTTAATATTGGGAAGGGATGAAGAATCCAACTCTCGGTCTCCATTGTTTAAAATGCCTCAAATAAATCAAAACCTTGTGTAGTTGCAAAATTATCTTGTTGATGATAAATCTCAGCATCTTGCAACAACAGGCTGTTCCGCTTTGAAAATGGTGATGCTGAAAGCCTTAAAGTTGTCCACAACACTCTCCTTATTTTTCTCAAAATACGGGACTTGTTTTCATGGTATGACTAAGGTTGTTGTTGCCACATCAGAAGCAAATATAGGAGAGTCTTCACTTCTTGGCTCAGTCTGTTACAATCTAGGTTTACTTTGAGCCATCAATCTTATACTATCAGGTCTGTATTGCAGAACTCTAGGCAGCCCCTAGGTGGCAGCAACATGATTCAGAAAACACAAACCCTGGCTGCCCTCTGGTGGTTGTTTGGGCATTAGCCCAGATATGACAGAAACAAATTCTCCTCCTCCTCCTTCCTCTTCCTCCCCCTCCTCCTCCTCCTGACCGAAAAGACCATAGGGCAGTTGGTTGAAGGTTATCCTAAAAGCCTTTATCTGTGTTATTGAATGAGAAGCTCATTCTGTTCTCTAAGCATTGTAGGAAGGAAAAGAGTTGATGAGAACCAGTTGGGGAGATGGAGTCGTAGACTCTCCGTTCTTCTCATGTTAGGCTTGTGCCCGTTCTCGGGTGTTTGGGTCTTGGTCTGTACAGCATTAGCTATTATCTTTCAGGCTCTACTCAAGGTTTAAACCTTAGGAAATCTGGCAAAACCATACCTAAGGAACTAATTTCTGAGTGGAACTGAGAAGCTCTCTTCCATAAGTCTAGGCATTTTTGATCCCTGAAGAGCATTATTGGTAGCGCTTAGGCTGAAACATGTGGTCCCTTCCTTTTAGTAGTAGTAGAGGTTGCAAATAGAAAAGGCTAATGCCAGAGGAGGCGTTGGGGTGGAATTCTAAATATGTTCTATTCTGAATGCATTTTCAGTTAAACTCCACCGGGATGTAAACAGTTGGACGCATCTTAATTTATGTAGCTTACGGAGAGCTGACCTCTCCAGGTCCAGCTTCAAGAGGACAATATTTACATAGTGTTAACAGATGGAAAGCAAAAATTTTACCTACAGCGCACTGTGTCGCAGAGAAAATCTACCTAGTTCTGTGTGCTTGTGTGTGAATGCACAAAATCTAACCGTAGAATAATAATAGAAATATTTTTTCTCTCTCTCACCATCCAGTAGGTGATTTATTAGTAATTTTAGTGGCAGGTGGTAGGGTGATGTAATTTGAGGAAAGCAAAATTTAGTTGGAGATACATTAAGAGGGATATAGCTGGCTATAAGTGACTGCATCGTATTTGGTCCCCTGGTGCCGCATATCTGTTCTTCCAAATGTACCAATTTCCAAGGAGCTAGTAAATTTTAGGATTGATAGAATAACAGAATTGCAGCATGATAAAGCTGGAAGAAACCTTTTAGGTCTTCTAGCCCAGCCCCCTGCTCAAGCAGGAGACCCGCTAGACCATTCCGGACCGGTGGCTGTCCAGTCTCTTCCTAAAAACCTCCAGTGATGGAGCACCCACCACGTCTGGACGCAACTTCTGTTCCTCTGGTTGCTTGTCCTCACTGTTAGACAGTTTCTCCTTACTTCTAGGTTGCTTCTCTCCTTGATTAGTTTCCATCCATTGTTTCTTGTCCTGCCTTCTGGTGTTTTGGGGAACAGGTTGACCCCCTCTTCTTTGTGGCAGCCTCTGAGATACTGGAGCACTGCTATCATGTCATGTCACGTAATATTCAGGAAATGACTGGCAGAACATTCCTCAAATGCCTCTCCTTCTTCAAAAGTTCATACAGTATGCACATAATTTTTGCCTTTATCCCAGCTCCATTTTGTTACTTTATTTATACCATCCATTCCAGCATATTCCCACCTGGAGTGCTCAGGAGGACTAGAAGCTATCATTTGGAGATTCAGGGGCATCTGGAAAGAAGTCCATTTTTTCACAGAAAATATAGTCCTCTTCCAGTAGGTTGACCACCATCTCTTGAGGTTCTGCTGATCAATGGCTTCTCTGTCTGTTTGAACATAATTCCCATTTTTTTACCTTTGAATCCAAGCCATTATCATAATTGGATGTAATATTGCCAAGAAAATAAATCTAAGCCCCAAATTTTGGGCTCAGTTGCGATCGTAAGTCAAGGATTACCTGTAGATGGAACTGATTTTGCTTCAACAATTCGATAAACTAGATGTTCCTCAACTGACAAGAAGATCTCCCCACCTATTGGATAACCTCAACTTCATTTCAAGAAATCTAAATTTCACGACATCAACCAGCAAATAAGGAAATGTACACATTGTTTTATTTTATATGGTCCAGATTTTGCCAGGGGGACAAAAATAGGAGCTATGCCGAGTGAGATACCTCTAGCTTTCCTCTTGAAGCCTGGGAGGCTGCGTGAAATAAAAACATGACAGTAAGATGATCATCCTAATTAAAATACCTGTCACAGATTATTTCCCTCACCTCCTATCCTAATTTCCCCGTCCCCCAGGATAAATCTGGTTCTCTCCTTCACCATCTGACAGCTGTAAAATATGCGCCTCAGATGATTGCTAGGGTAACTTCATTGTTTTAAAAAAAAGATAGCCGATTTTCTGAAACTCCATTGCTTTATGAATTGTGTCTTGTGAAATCTTTATAAATGAAGCAGAATGAAAAATAAAGACTGTTGAGGTGAAGAATGTTTTAGCTCTTGCCTCTTTCCTTTCAGCTGAAGATAAGTGTAAAAGAGATTACCTCAGCAGGCCTGTCTGGTTTAACCCTTCCTATCTCTTCTTGCAATTCCCTTCGAGTGGGGGAAAGAAAATTCTCTTTCCAGTTCCTCAGCCTTCTGACTGACAGCTACTCCGAGGAGGAGGAGATTTCTGACATGAATTCGGCAGATTTCCCTCTATTATATTAGAAAAAATTATTTTTGTATACTCTTAAAGTTTTTGATCTAATTATAATGGTGACTGTCAGCTTTTTGAATATCGCAGACATGTTTTCAAATACTAAGTGGGACCCAGAAGCACAAAAATTGCTTTGTGTCTCCACACTCTGCCTGGAGAGCACTTAATAGCAGATTATACCGTAGTACCCTTTGCTCTTTCAGGTCGAAATATTCTTCACATTCTCCCATATATATATAAAAAAAATCACTATGTGAGGCAAAGATGACCTCGTTCCATTTCTTCTTCCTGATTCCCCAAATCTCACCCTCTTTTCATGACTTCTCCATCTCCTTTCTGAGGCTCTAGTACGGCACTTCAAAAAATGACCCATAGCTGTTTTTCACACTTAACAACCGATGCAGCGTCCCCCATGGCCACGTGATCAAAGTTCAGATGCTAGGCAACTGACTCGTATTTGTGACGGTCGCAGTGCCCCGGGGTCACGTGATCCCCTTTTGCGACCTTCTGACAAGCAACGCCAATGGGGAGGCCGTGTTCACTCAACAATCCTAGTGACCTGGTGCCTCTATAGCAGGGGTCCTCAACCTTGGCAACTTTAAGACTTGTGGACTTCAGCTCCCAGAATTCCTCAGCCAGCAAAGCTGGCTGAGGAATTCTGGGAGCTGAAGTCCACAAGTCTTAAAGTTGCCAAGGTTGAGGACCCCTGCTCTATAGCTATCTCCAACGCTGCCAGTTTAAGACAGGGGTCTCCAAACTTGGCAACTTTTAAGGACTTTGTGAACTTTATCATCCAGAATTCCCCAGCCAGCCATGCTGGCTAGGGAATTCTGGGAGTTTAAGTCCACAAGTCTTAAGATTGCCAAGTTTGGAGACCCCTGGTTTAAGATCAGACATCCTAAGTTGTGTCTGTTCTCCAGGGGATTTTCAAAAACGAACATTTCCTCAGGGCCAAAATGCCATCAACTGTCTGTTGCCTTTTTTTCCCCTTACGTGCCTGTGTGTTTTAAAATATATTATTCACAGCTGGAAGACGTTCTTGTAATCCTTTGATTTTTATACTGTTTTATGATTACGCTTGTCCTCCTTCAGGAAGAAGAATGCTAGGGATAGATAGGCGAACTATAATGAATGCGCTGAACGGTTGTTGTGGTAGAATTGAATTTGATTATGAAATAAGTATTAGTTAGCATGTGGGGTGTTTGATAACGATAGTGCACTCAGGGGTTTCTTTCACTCTCAGAGATGAAAAATATAGATAGAGAGTAAAAAATATTGACACTTCTTACGCTGTTTGTTCCAGCTTCTGAGTCTCCTGCTGAGTGTTTTTATAACCGCCGCATCAATGGGTCTCTTTTCCCCAGCTCCTTAGATTTAACGGAGTCGAATCAATTTCTACCACAGCTTCAAGTGGTTGTTACAAAACAAGCAACACATCCTAATCAAGCCGTGGATGGGTTTCCTCAAAGTTCACATTGATTTTTACTCGGCTTGAGGGAAGCAGGTCTTCCGCCTAGCATCAAGGTAGATGAGCAGAGCGGCACTTCTTTCACGGCCATCTCTCCTAAACGGGGGAGGATTCAGTAAAGGCTGCGGGACGGTTGAAATCGAAGCCCTTAAAACGGGAGAGCTCCAAGAAAGAGCCAGGAGGGAAAAGTTGCAGTTTTTGTGGAAAATCTCTTCGCCTGAGGCTGATGCTTTTCCAGGGTGCTTTGCTAGGGCCCTCAGGTGAACCATGTCACAAGTTTTACGTATTTATTAAATTGACATAGCTGCCGCTTAGGCGGCTCTCGGCGGCTTACAATTTTTTTAAAAATCCACTATGAAATAAAAGTTGCACTCGGCCAGGGCTTATCAACTAGAAACCATTCCTGGATTCGCACAAAAATGGTTTACAAACCACAGTCGCACCCAAGTCAAAATTAAAACTGCATTTTAATTTTGCGTGGTTGGTGAAAGTGACCCCTCTTGTTTCATCAGCTCAGCTCAGCATTAGAAAGCAATCCAGATTAGGAGCTTGAAATATGAATCGCGAAAGCTGAGTAACTTTTAATGCCAAAGTCTGGCTTATTCGTGAAAGGCTCTCTGAATTAAACAGGCTTCCATCCCAGGTAACCGTGCTTTCTTTTTTTAAAAAAATCAAATCTCTTGCAAATCTTGACTGCCATCTGCTACAGAGTTAAAATCCTAAGTGCCGTCTTCGGGTTCCTTCCTTTTAGCGTCTTCCTTGGTCGTGATTGTGAGTCATCCCTTGTGGGTCTGCTTTGCCCAAAGCAAAGTGAAATTGACTGGCCTTTGGGCATCCCGTCAGCCAGGCGGTATTTCAGAAAGTGGGGCATTATTGGCAAAGAGCCGGGCAGTGACTGAATATGGCAGCCGGGCCTCCGTAAATCACCCACTGCTGGCTGTGCTGAGCAGCTGCTGGGCTGAACATAAAAGGCCAGGGAGTGTATTAAAGGGTAGTGCAGTTCTTCCCTTTTTAAAATATTGTCCTGCTTAAAAATCTTATTTTACGACTCGTATTTCCTGCACGCTAAGCTGGAGCTGCATGTCCTGGAGCAGAAAGGAGATTTCTTAGCTTCCAAGAAACGAATATAAGGAAGCAAAACCAAAGGTGCAGGAACAAAATGTACAGTTTTGGGAAAGGTTCTTTATTAAAAACAGACAAGACACCCACGGCTTTCTCTTCAGCAGAGCCTGGTTTATTTGTGGCTTTTAAAAAAAATTACTTCGCTATTTATGTAGGCTAAGAAGAAATTACTTCGCTATTCTTATTTTGACTTCTGAAGAAAAGTCTTTTGACTGAAATAACAAAAGAGTTTTTAGCTCCAAAGTTTAGACAATGGTTAAGGCTTATTTTAATTTTATTTAAACAGTAAAATGTTATAATTTAAAACATCTGAATATTTTTATTCAGTACAAAAACACCGTTGCTTGTTTTAGCATATTTTTAGATGGATGTAGTATGTAGCTTCCAGACGGAAAAAAGGGAGCAATGCCACTTTCTCCCGATTCCCAGTGACTGTTAAATCAATTTTGTTGTAATCAGGTAGGTCATAATTAGAGCCTCACTGCTGATTAGGGGAGATAAGTAGGGATGTGTCTAAGTAGATCTCAGCCTACTGTGACTGAGGTGGCCCCACCTGACCACTTTTGGGGCCTTTGGGGACAATAACAGGCAAGATTAACTGTAGATACGTTGAAGTCCCTGTGGGCTGATTCTGACATCAACCAGCCTTTCTTATTTTTAAACCTAGCATATTCAGAGACTGCGAGGTAGACTTATCCAGGGCCGATTTTATTAATTGCTTTTTAAAAATAGGAGGAGACATTTACAGCTCTGTTTCTGCCATTCGTAGGCTGTATATGTGATTAGCCAGATCTAGTTGCTTCAAAAGTGTTGAACAGAACTACTTATGGATGTCCTATTCTACCGAAGCCTGTTCAGATCTCAATCCACATGGATATCTTTTTTTTTTTTAAATAATTTTTTATTAATTTTTCATTAAAAAACAAAAACATAAGTCTTTTATCACAATATCAAGCAGAAAAAAATCAACATCAAACAGTACATTCACGGACGTGTCCGGTGTCCCCCTCCCGCACCCCCCTCTCACTTGCTTACACCTTCCTCCTCCTTGTCTTACCACCACTCCTCCTTCCTCCCTCTTTCCTGCTTCCCTTTCTCCCTCAATCATCCCGTCAGTGCGGTTGGGGTATCACCGGGCACCTCCTTAGAAAATCATACATATATATATACATCTAAATCTATATACCAACCTAACCCTTTCCCCCCTCCCCCCCAAGACTTCCCAAAGCTAATCTAGGAAATAAATGCACAATCATCCAATACTAATCAAAAACTACTCATTATTATTACACACTAGTACAAAATTACTGTGACTCTAAAATAACATTAAATTACAACAAAAAAAAATTTTTTCTTTTTTTTAAAATTATATCAATATATACCTAATTTTTTTCTAAATTTTTAATCAAAAGCAACATAATAATTTTTCAGTTCATACTTTCTCTGAATATAATCTATCCATCTTCTCCATGTTAAGATAAATTTTTCCTGAGAATGATCCTTCAGGTACGCGGATATTTTTGCCATCTCTGCAAAATATGATACTTTCTGTCTCCAATAATCCACATGGATATCTTGAAGCCACAGGATCAGTTGGGACTCATAAGGGAAATAAACACAGTCTTCTTACTCTTCACAGCCAACTCTTATTTCTTCCACATTCCCCAAGCAATCCTACAATGACGGCTCTCTTCAGCTACACAGCAGCACACCATCAGAGCCACCAGGTATCCGGAGGGTGAGAAGCTGGGCCTGACCTATCAGTTATGGAGAGGGTTGCATTCTCTCTTAAGGATCAGTTTTATTTAGTGGAGATCCTCCTTGATCCAGTATTGCTATTGGATAGCCACTTAAGATCTTTTTCTTAACACCTTTACCTATTCAGAGACTCCTTCCCTGGCTACTTCCAAGCTGGGCTTTTGACTTGCTGTCTTTAAGATGGTCAAAAACGTCCAAGTCACCCGGCATGCATGGGGTCTCCTTGGGGCCTCACATTGCTCCATGTTGAAACAATTTCACAGGTCACCATCTGAATCCAATTTCATCTGTCCATGATGCAGCTCAGGATGGTCCAAGCAGTTGTCAGGATTAACCACTATAATGTTTAAGAACTTTGAAGGGAAGGAGGGCCATATGACAAGAATGATGAGTTGATGAAACTCCACCTGAATAATAACAAGAACTTCCAAAACTGCTGAGGCTCTTCACTTTTATATTAAAGGGAAATTGCCCGATGTCCTTGTACATTTCTTCTGAAACTGACATTAATTACCGAAAACTCTGAATGTTCTTAACATGCATATCATGATCATACCTTGCTGCTTTGGCTTCATCAAACATTTCATCTCTGATAGTGAGACTCAAACTGATAATTACAAAATTAGAACTTGGGCATCTCCAGGCTAATGACCAAAGTTGGTTGATCAGACCAGTTGTCAAAATTCCAAGAACATAATCGCTGAAGTGTGAGGAGAAAAATTGCTTCTCTTAATTGTTCACAATTCTAAGAATGTAATTATAATATATGAGGAGCTATCATAGAACGGGAAAAGACTTTGGATGTGACCTAGTCAAGGGATTCATAACCTGTTTTAAGCTGAGGACCGTGCTTGATCTTAGATTGTAAATTGAGGGTGGCATTAAAAAAAGGAGATGAAACCAAGCGGGCTAAAATAAAGGGGTGTTTGATTCAGTATTTTAAAGATCTTATTAAATTAATGAAATGCAGCCTAAGTCAGAGGTCTTCAAACTTGGCAACTTTAAGACTCCCAGAATTCCTCAGCCAGGCACGCAAGCCATGCCCTGGAGCCTTCCCCTCCCTTGTCCTTCTCCCCCCCATCCTAGAGTGGGGGGTGTATCAGGTGTGCTCAGCCTTTCGTGTGTTTTTTTCCCCCTCCTTTTCGTCTTCTCCTTCAGGCTTCCTGTCTCAGGTGGTCTACGAGCGGCCATTGACGGAGTGCATCCGGGCTGCACACTACGCTGCCAGTGTGATCATCCAGCGTTCCGGTTGCACCTTCCCGGAGAAGCCCGACTTCAAATGATACTGACACGCTGAGGGATCCACAGGAGACGCTGCCTACTTCCTGTCCCGTCCCCCCACCCGGACCCTGCATTGGCCTTTCTGTACTTCTGTTCATTTGGACCCTGGACGCCTCTCTTGGAGGCCCTTCTCCCCCCATCATCAGAACATCGGACTGACAGATCATCCAGGGTGCAGTTTCAGATGCCCTGTGCATCACACACACACACACACACACACCCCGATTCTCAAGGGAATGCCAAAATCCTTCTGGTGTCCTGGCCAACGCTGCTCACTTCGGCCAGAAAAGAATTCAGTTGGGAAGTAACTAAAATAATGGTACAAGTCTAAGGGTTGGGCCTTGATCCCTGGTGTGATTTACTGACCTTCCCAGCTGAATCCTGGTTCTCTTGCAGTAATCGGAAGTACAATCATGGTTTCCGGGGTGACCCAAGATTGTTTGAGCTGGGGTAGGAAATGGGGGGTAGGCTCCTCAAATGAGAGGTAGGACTTTCATTCTTCATGCTAACTTGAATTCCGGCTCGGGAATCTCATTTGCCCAGAGCGGGAACTGGATGTTATTATAAGTAAAACCCATAATAGATACGGGCCAACTTTGAAGCCGCATCTCAGAAAGCATAAATGTATTATGTGCAAACGGGAGTACAGAAAACTCATGCAGGCTGTTTCTTTGGGCCATGCCAAAATATTTTATTTCAACGCACAGTTTTAAGACAATAAGGTATGTCAAATAATGGAAACATCTTTATTTGTATTACAGTATTCAAGAAACACATTCTCCAAAGTAATTTACTATGTAATTTGATACTGATAAATAAAGGAATTGTGATACAGGTGTTTTCTGGGCTTTTAATGGTGTGACGGGGTTCTGTGGCAGTAAATAGGCCCTTATAAGAGCCAGTGGGAAGCATTGCAATTCATCAGTGATGCTGATAAAAACACACAATTTAGAAAGGAAGAAAAATTAATTAAGTAACCAAAACCTATAACCTTGCCGCTATTAATTTATTATTAGGAAGGGCATAAAAGTATACTGATGCTATTGACCCAGTAATTAAAATCTAGTGGCTGTTCACAGGACATTGAAATAAAATGGGCTTCATTTGGAACCCAGCAGAATGTCAGAACTTTCCATTACCAAGACAGAACCTCAGAGAGACTGGATGTGGATCATTATTTTATGGCAAAAGTTTCCTATTGGCCATGTAGCTCCACGTAGAAAAAAGCTGGTTACTAGAAATTTATATTTCAGCATAAAATGTAATCTAGCTTCTTGGATGAGAAGCGAAACATCTTCAAAAAAAAAAAAAGCAAGAAAGTCCAGTTGCCTTGTGAAAAAGCATCTTTGGGGCATCCTGGTGATTAATGTATTGAGATGTGTTTACGTGGCTCCGGACAGCCAAGCATCGGTGAGCCTGTATCCACCCCGTTACGTCTGCTCCCCTTTGTTCACCCAACCAGTTGAGTTCATCTCGCCTCTCTTGTGCCCTGGGTAAAAAATACCCTCAGGATTTCAGTTTTGAAATGGAAAAATAATACTGCCCGGCAGATGTGTGTAGCAGTTCACTGTGTAGGGAGAGCAATTAAAGTAATCCCTCTCACAAAAAAGCCAAAATAAAAGTTTGCTCTTGGTTATTCACATGTCACTGAACCGACATAAAGGATGAAGCGTCTGTTGTGACCGATTTCTCTCAAGCCGAATGAAAAGGGATCAGAATAGCAATTGGGGGGGAGGGGCAGGCCTTCCAGCCATGGACCCCAAGTGGAAGGACCGCTTCCCTGAACTCTGCAAATATTTAACCCCGCTCTTTCCCCAGGTCACTGGAGTGAGACAGTTAATAGCCATCAGCTGCCGATGCCGCTGAACAATCAATGGGCTTTCTTGCAGAGAAAATGAGTAGGAAAAACAAAGCCATCTAGGGCCCTGCAAATCACAAATATGCTGTGGCTGTGCACACAAGTTGTTGCCCAGGCTGGTGGGTGGTTGACCTGCACTGTCTTTCAGAACAACGCGAGTGTGCTGTGGTGTCCATTGTGCTACATTTTGCACACTTGAGAATTGTGATTGTCTGCTTGTGCATCGGGAGATGTGAGTGGTAGGTGTACTTCCTGTGGCACTAAGTGGACATCACGTCTCCTGCAGTGCTCCTTGTTAACTTTAAATATGGAGGGAGAAAGTGACTTCCTTATCTATGCCCTGGAAATGTAGCAAACCACGTAATTAATGCACTTTGAAGTATTTATATTAAATGCATTTTTAAGTGGGCAAAATTAGGTAAATTAAAAATAATATATTATAGAAGATACTTTAAATGCATCGCATTAAGCAGTTCTAATCCAATTGTGCAGAACAATCCAGTTTCTCTTTTTCTGGTCACCCCATGCATCTATTGCTGTCTTTTCATAGTGGATATTCCAACCTCCCAAAAGAAAGGTTGTCAGAGAAGATGGACACCAGTTGGACTCTCCCCCATCACGCTTCTTTGATAGGAAGACGGTCAGGTGCTGGCAATCAGAGCCACAGGTGAAAGTTCAAGATTAGTACTTTATTGCGTTCTACCTATAATACAAGAATCTCCCCAGACTGCTTGCCTTCCCTTGGGAACAAAGAGATAAGGGTTTCATGGAACTTGGGGTGGGTGTGTCGGGTGCAAGTCTCTGGCAGCTGTGCAAGGACTCCTCGTGACTAGCTCCCCACTTGATCCCTCTCCCTTGCCTGACTGGGAGTTTCCCAACAAAGACCTGGGCATCTCTTACAGCTTTGAGTGTCCGGTGCTTTTCCCCCTCTTGGAAAAGCCACAGATAGACCTGAAGAAACTGCCTCGTGCATCCTCTGGTAGAGAAGGCCCAACGTTGGTCTGCCGAGGGAGAGGCCTGCTGGACACCCTTCTCTGTGTAGGTGCCCTGAGGAATGCCACCAGCACAAGCATTGGTTTCCTTCCCATCATTTAGCAGTTGTCTGTTACCTCAAGTCAGCATCTTTACTCTGAGGTAAAATACGTGCCATTTCCCCATTATGGGCGCAGAATAGCCACAAGACTAGCAGAAAGTGCCAAGCTGGTGCAGGTCAAGAATTACATTGTCTTCCTGCAAAGTTGAAACGGGGATTTGGGCTTATTGGACAGCAGTTGGCCTCCAGATGTTGGACTTCAGCTCTCGTAATCCTCATTTACTGCTCATCCTATCTGGGGGGGAAGGGAACGTGGTCCAGTAACTACTGGGGGTTCAGTGAAGGGAACCAGTGGTTTAGAAAATAGGATTAAATAAAGCAATGACAGATTAGTCCACCAGCGGCTAATAGTGATGACAACTATCTGTCTGCTCCAGATCCTGCACTGAGGAGTAATTAGTGGTGAGCAGCAACAGAAAATAGCTGTTGTCTTTTTATCTCCCGGGCTGGGGACTCTGGGACTAGAAAGATGGATTAAATGAACCTTAGCCGGATCCTACAGGGATCTTCTTATCTTCTTTTATATGCATGAATTTGTGGATTTTAATCCTGAAGTGTTGTCTTGGCAGAGAGGAAAGCTTTGAAGTAAATTTGGGTGGGGCCATGCTGGTTTTCAGCAAAGTTCAATTCTTGCCTTTTTCCTAATAAAATAATACAATTATCTCTTTTTGCCAAGACTTTCTGAGCTTTATTAGTAAGAATTCCTGAAAGGTTTTCAGCAAAGAACCCAAATGGATTTCAGTGTCCACAAATTACTACTAAAGCCTTAATTTTATTAAGACAGGTTAGGAAATGGCCTCAGTCAGGGGTGTGGCTGTCCATCTCCTTGGCAAGGCTTCTTCCAGTCCTTTGGTGCTACAGAACAAAAGCAGAAAGTGGACCAACCAGCGAAGTTCAGGAGATGCAGAGTTCAAGAAATGGGGTGAGATGTTGAAGTTGCTTCTGGTATTATCCAGAACTTCAGATACGAACGTGGAAGGATGTCTGATGTCTGATTCCTTCTGCTTTGCTTGGATGTCATTGTCCAAAAGTCTTGCATCAGGACTTCTCTATATTTTGATTCTGGAATGGAAGAACAGGGAAGGCAGCCTTACAGGATAAAGCTACAAAAATGATGGGGGCATACAAGATTTGGTTCAATTTTGAATGTAGGACCATAGGGCTTGAAGGCAACTCAGAGGTCTTCTACTCCAACCCTCTGCTCAAGTCAGGAGACCTTAATACTATCCTGGTCAAATGGTCGTCTATTTTGGAAAAACTCCAGTGATGGAACACCCACAACACCAGGAGGCAAGCTGTTCCGTTGATTAGTTGCTCCCGCTCTCAGAAAATTGCTCTCACTGTGAGGAAATTTTTCCTTACTTCTAGGTCGGCTCTCTCTTTGAAAAGCTTCCGCCCGGTGTTTGCAGGCCTCGAATGATTTCAAGGAATTGTCTTAACAGAGGAGGGAATCAAGATATTGCAGATTGGATTAAGGCCACTGCTTTGCCAGGAAAACATAACCGTAACACTTTCATTGGCCCCTTCAATGACGGAGAGCAAGGCCAACTTATAGTGAGTGGTGATGACTGGCAAAAGTCAAGAAAAAGACTCACTTGGATTTGTGGGATGATTTGCTAGTAGGCAAGCATAACAAAGCAGTTCTCCAGATCAACCAATACCTAGCAAAACTTAAATTGGCATCTCTCTCTTACGCTCCTCTTCTCCCCTAAAGTAAGAAGCCTTCCCAGTTAACAGAGTAACAGAGTTGGAGGTTATGTTTGTCCTCTTTATCCTGTGTTCCCGGGTCTGGTGGACGCTTCATCACAGTAAGCCAGGACATCTCCCTTGAGTGTGGACTGCAGAAGGCCTGGGGGGGAGGGGGGGGTTAGGAAGTTGGCTGTGAGGGGGGCTCAGGCCTCCTTTAGGAGAGCCTCCCCCTGTCCTGGGGATGAGTTTATGAGTATATCTTTGGCATTAGGAAAGGTGCAGATTGGCAGCACTGGTGGGTTCTGAATCCTGTTCTAAATGTGTCTGCAAACCAACTTTAATTGGTTTAATCAGATCAGTGCTATTCCTTGCTTAACCAGTAGCAAAGTGACTATGCCATTCTGTCTCTTTCCCATGTGAATTCCACTTAGCCACATTCTCATAGATAGGGATAGGGATAGATAATTGCCAGGTGTCCACTATTTGAGTGGACAGTCCACTTTTTTCACATTATGTTCACTATTTTTTTTCACAAAATAGTGGACATTTTTTTTATTCAAAAGCTTTATGATGAAATGGTACGTAATCTAAAGCTGTACAGTCTACTTTTTTTACTACTTAACCCCCCCCCCCCCCGCTTGTCCACTATTTTTTGGAAGCAGACCTGGCAACCCTATAGATAGATACAGATGAGAGATGATGAGAGAGAGAGAGAGAGAGAGAAGAATGGTGGGGGCGATAGCACCAAGAGAATCAGATGCTTTACAGATATTTCTGGGTTAATGGGATTATGGTTTAACCTTGAAGAGAAAAACAAAAGGTAAGACAGGCGTGCATACAAACAGAAGGATACACCACAGTCATCTCTGCCCAAACATCCGGAGAGCCTGGTAGCCTCAGAGCTGCAGTCTCGTAGAGGTGCCACAATAACGCCTTCCACAACATTCTTTATTTGTGGTTTTCTTTTTTTTATTGAGACGTGCAGAAGCTCAGAAATGCTTACATTTCAATCCCTTGTGGACTTGCCTGTCAGTTACTAAGCCTTTGATGTCTTTATCTGGAAACCTAGATTCAGGAATGGTTCGTTCCAGACAGCTACTATCTTCTTTTGACCAGTCAAGGTCTCTGCTCCTTATTTCTCTAACAGTTGGCTAAGAAATTGATCCCAAATTCCCATTGTTCCCTGTGGTTTTTATC